GTCCGTTTATCAGACTTCCGCTGCATATATGCTCATCCTACATTGGTTGATCTTTGGTTCTGCCCATACTCATTGAAGTATGTAACAGTTTTGGTATTACCTAATACAGTTTTGAAGAAGCAATCTAATTCCTAATACAGTGCTGTTACATACTTCAATGAGTATGGGCAGAACCAAAGATTACGGAATAAATTTGCAACTTTGAACTTGGTAGTAATACAGTGCATATATGCCCATCCTACATTGGTTGATCTGATTTAGGAATTAGATTGCTTCTTCAAATCTTCCAAATCAGCACTGTATTACTATCAAGTTCAAAGTTGCAAATTTTTTTCTTTTCTTCGGTATTCTATTTATTTCGGCATTTCCGTTTCAATTCGGTATTCGGACTTATAATTCGGATTTCTGTTTTATTCCGGTATGCTGTTTATTTAGGTTCCGATTAATTGATACTAATCCGATAATTTGTTAGGTTCGGATTTCTGATTTGAAAACGTTATTAGGGTTGAATCAGTATCCTATTGAAATTCGGCATTCTGATTTCCATTCAGCAGTCCGTTTTTAACTTTGGCATTCTGTTGTAAATCCTACATTTCGTTTTTCTTTTGGTATTTCTGTTTTTTCCTTCAGTATTGGAAATTAGGGTTACGAAATTTTGGTTGTTCGGTCAACTTGGGAATTTTGAACGTTTTGGAACCGTAATACCGGAAATTCCGCGGAAACGCGGAAAATTAGGGTTGGGCCCGAAATTTTCGCGAATTTTTCTTTTTCTTTTTCCAAGTTGGAGAAATTCCGAAAACGGATTTAGGCCTTTAAAAAATCGGATTTTGACGGTGGAAATTCCCGAAAATTCACGTTTTTGAAAATTCGAGTGTTTTTTTTTTTTCTCCGGATTTTTCCGAATTTTTTTTTTTGGCAACTTAATCCGAATCTGACCCTCACATTGCAACTTCCGGGTAGTTCACTAATTAACGGTGAACTCCCGGACCATAATTGATCTCAACAGATACCTAATCTTAATAACAATTTTAATTCATTCATTATCATTATTGCAAATATTGTTTTGATTGATTATTATCATTGCAAATATTGTTGTATTGATTACCATTAAGAATTATTCTTTCGTTATTTATCATTAATTAAGTTTATTGATTAAATAATTCGTTATTACCTCTTCTTATTACGAATTTTTGGAATTGTTTACGGGAAAAAAAAAATTCTGTTTTGATTAGGTATCTAAAGTCCATCCGTGGGACAGGGGACTGTATGCGTATTGTTTGATTGTTCTACCCCTGTTCCCACTCTCCCTACCCTCCCCATACTCCGTGACCACCGGGATGTCAAGTACCACATCAGTTCACACTGATGTCGATGGAACAGGACACCGGGGCACTGCCACGACGCAGTGCCAGGCTTGCAGTTCGTACCCGCCCTGTGGTACCTCCAAGACCCAAGCAGCGACTCAGCAAGCGGAAGACTCCAGCAGCATCAAGTACAGCAATAACAGTACCAGTGACCACCCGTGTTCTTCCCGCATGCCCGGTCCAAGGGGCCGGTGAGCCGTTGGCAGCTTACCTTCAGCGGGTACAGGCATTCACAGATGTCGTAGCTACCGCAAAGGCACAGGAGGAAGCAGCAGAGGCGGAACGTCAACGGCTGGCCAGTGAGGCGGCAGCCCAAGCTCAGCAAACTGCTGAGGCTGACGCCGTGGTGCGAGATAAGCGGAAGGCCATTTGCATGGAGTCCTTGACTATGAATGAGAGTCAGTGGACGACACTGCTCCAAGGCATGCTGTTTGTGCCTTCGGAAACATAGGCGGATTCGACACCGGCGGAGGAAGAAAGGAGCAACCTGGCTAACCTGATGTTGCATATGATGCGAGCGATCATGTGGAACAATACGATGTTAATGGTGCAAACACACTAGGGCAGACAGCTGCGACAGATTCAGCAGAATGATTCTGCAGCCTTAACAGCTGCTGTTCGTGCTGCCGCCACACATCAGCAACAACAGCAACAGCTGTTGAACACCACCACCGCACGCGTCAACAACATCGAGGCTAAGGCCTCAGCAGCGCCAGGCTGCACGACAGACGAGACGAAGCAGCTCAATGGGCGCATCGATCATGCCGTCAATCTCATCGGCGACATAGGTGTTTTCAATGGGCCGGACACAATCAGTAGCACGATGGCCGCCATCAAGACGGACATCACCAAGCTGCAGACGAGACGGGACGCCGCTACGAAGAATTACAAGATGCCTCACTTCGACATCAGCAAGTTCGACGACTACAACAAGTCGGACGCCTTGACATGGTGGCAAAGTTTCCTCACGGAAGCATCATGCCGCACTGTCCCGGCCGAAGACATGATGAAGGCACTGTACTTACAACTGATTGGAGGAGTGCAGGCATGGATGAACCATCTGGCGGCTACCAAGAAATGCACCATCGCCGAACTCCACACGCACATTCCGTGGAAGGAGTTCGAGAAGCTATGGCTCACCCGGTTCATGGTTCGCAACGTCGTGAAGGCAGCCATGAACGAGGTGTACACCTGCTCTCAAGGTAGTATGCCAACTCGAGACTGTACAACTAAGTGGCAGAAGATAGTGACCACGCCAGGCTTCAATCAGCGATCCGAGTACTTCTCGCGATCGTGCGCAGGACTGTGGTCGGCACTCGGCAACGAGTACGATTATGATTCATTCCAGGCCATTCTGGATCGTGCGAACTTAGTCATCCAAACGGATGACAAGGCCGCCAACGAACGGCAGTCCCAGCCGCATTATGTGGCTAAGCATGGCTATCAACGACCGACACATAACAATGTCGTGATTTCTGAAGAAACAGTCGATCTCCACGCTGCAGCAGCATCTTCGAGTAATGGAGGAATTGTAGCAGCGCTCCCGCCGAAGCGTCCCAAGAGAGTTCGGAAGAACAAGGCGACACAAGAGACGACATCGACGGGAACTGGGAAGCAGCCATGGATGGCTTACAAGATAACCAAGGATGTCTATGACCTTCGTCAAAAGTACGGATACTGCCTTTGGTGCAACGGCGTCACTCATTTGACCGCACAATGCCCCGAAAAGGGCAAGGCACACGTACCTTGACCAGCAAACTCGGGAAACTGAGTTACACAAGGAGAGGGGCGACGTCTCTCCTCACTCCGCCGGAACGGGTTGCCTTGCTAGCAATCAATGTCACTACCGGGGAGCATGCATTAGTCACTGATTCTCGTGCTACGTACAAGGATTATGCAGCCCAGTTGGTACCACCACTTGCCCAGCCGAGCCACGTGCACTTAGATTGCGTATGCGCAGCCTGTACACCGTCGACAAGTGATCCGGTCAGTTCACCACTGATTTCCGAGGACTCGACGGTGTGGTCAAGACTTGAGGAGCTCGACCCGCTCACGAGAGAGGACTTCGCTTGGATGCCTCTACCCTCGACCGGAACCTTGCCAAGGCCGCATTGCAACGCCTTGATGGCAAATCTACGCTCCTATTTGCACACTACAGTACCAGCTCCGTTGACGGACGACGGAGTAGCGGTTGTCGATCTCCGCTCCTATCTTGCGAAGATTGACCGCGAGTACGCCACCCAAAGGTACGCCGAGACCGACGCTCCTTTGCTCTATATCCGCATTCAAATCGCAAAGGCAACCTGTAGTGCCTTGATTGATTGCGGAGCATCTCGCAACTTTATGAGCCAAGCCTTTATGGCCCGCGCAGGTCTTAGCCCGCGCATTCGAAGGAAGACGCAACCTACACAAGTTACACTCACGAACGGTCGCACGCAAAAGTCAATTGACCGATGTGTCGATGGCGTTCCGGTATACTTTGCGCCACTTGCGTGCGAGCCGGTGTCTTTTGACATCCTCGACACCAAGTTCGACATGATTCTAGGCATGTCTTGGTTGCGTAGCGCCGACCATCCAGTGAACTTCCATGACCGAACCGTTCACATCCGTGATTGGAACGGAGTGTTAGTCCCATGTACGATCGCGACCCCTCACACTTCGATTGCTTGTCACGTGGTTTCCGTTGCGCGGATTCGCGACGCCATAGCTCGGAATGACGTCGAGGAGATGGGCGTTGTATTCTTGCATGCTCTCCCCTCGCCGGACGGACCAGCCGCGTCCCCGCCGGACCCACGCATCAGTATGGAGACGTCTTCGAGGCGCCCACCGGAACGGTTCCGGATCGGCCCATACGTCACGGGATCACTCTCGAGGCTGGTGTCGTCCCTCCGCATGGATGTATCTACCGCATGAGCGAAGAGGAACTCGAGGTGCTTCGCGCACAACTCGATGACCTTCTTGACAAGGGCTGGATTCGCACTAGTTGCTCGCCATACGGTGCACCTATTCTCTTCGTCCGGAAGAAGAACAAAGATCTACGGTTATGCATCGACTATTGCAAACTTAACGTACAAACCGTAAAGAACACCGGCCCTCTCCCTCGGATTGATGATCTCCTTGAGCGGTTAGGCGGCGCGACGTACTTCTCGAAGTTGGACTTGAAGTCAGGCTACCACCAGATTGAAATCCAACCTCAAGATCGGTACAAGACCGCGTTCAAGACGCGGTACGGGCATTTTGAGTGGGTTGTCATGCCCTTTGGCCTCACCAATGCCCCCACAACTTTTCAAGCAGCTATGACGACTGAGTTTCGCGACTTGCTCAACTGCAGCGTCCTCATCTACCTTGATGACATCTTGTTTTATAGCAGGACGTTGGACGAGCACATCACACACCTTCCGCTGTTTTGAATCGTTTGCGACTGGCCAAGTACAAAGCAAACCGCGACACGTGCGAGTTCGCCAAGCAAGAGCTTGAGTATTTGGGCCACTATGTTACGTCGAAAGGCATTCGTCCCTTAGCGGACAAGATCCAAGCCATCGTGGATTGGCCGGAACCCCGTTGTACGATGGATGTACGCTCTTTCATGGGTTTGGCTGGATACTATCAGCGATTCGTCGAGTCATACTCGAAAGTGACCGCTCCTTTGTCGAGACTTCAGTCCCCGAAGGTGCCCTTCGAGTTCGACAACGCAGCCCGTGGCGCGTTCACTACGTTGAAGGCAGCAATGCAAGCCGCACCTGCCCTCCGTATATACGACCCCACCCTACCCACCCAAGTGACTACGGACGCTTCGGGATACAGTATTGGTGCGGTGTTGGAACAATGTCATGAGGACGGTTGGCATCCGGTCGAGTATTTCTCCCAAAAGGTGCCTCTCGTCAACACTCTCGACGACGCTAGGAAGAAAGAGCTACTCGCGTTCGTCACCGTTCTCGATCGGTGGCGCCACTTTCTTCTCGGTCGTCGGCGTTTTAAATGGAATACGGACAACAATCCGTTAACCTTTTACAAAGCGCAGGACACGGTCACTAGCACGATCGGTCGATGGATGTATTACATCGACCAGTTCGACTTTGACCCGTGCCACATTCCCGGTCCCGCCGATCGAGTTGCGGACGCCCTCTCACGACGGATCGACTTTTGTGCCATTGTGACCACGACATTCGACCTCGATGACGATCTGCAGCCGCATTTCGTCAAAGGCTACAAGTCCGATCCGACTTACTCTACGCTATATGCAGAGCTCTCATCGGATCACCCGCCGGCTAGCCACTATCGGATTTCCGACGGGTTCCTTCTCCTTCACACGAGAGGAAAGGACTTGTTAGTTGTGCCCCAAGATCGCATCTTACGGACTCGTCTTCTCGACGAATTCCACGACACACGACTTTCGGCACACCTTGGCGTGAACCACACATTAGCACGCCTCTGCCAGCGTTTTCACTGGCCCGACGTCCTTCATGACGTCACGAGGTACGTTGAGTCATGTGCAGTTTGCCACCGTAACAAGGGTCGATCTCGAGTTCCCTTCGGCGAACTGAAACCGTTGCCGATTCCTCGGCCACCGCGCCTCTCCATTGCTATGGACGTGACAGGCCCGTTCCCCCGCGATCGCCACGGCCATGACGGTATTCTCACGGTCGTTGACCGTTTGAGCAAGTATGCTTGCTTCCTTCCTTGCAAGTATCATGCTGCAGCACCCGAGCTCGCACAACTCTTGCACACCAGTTGGATTACCAACCAGGGTGTTCCGGAAGACATAGTGAGCGACCGAGATGCTCGCTTCATGTCGACCTTTTGGACTTCCCTCATGGCTGAGTCCGGTACGACTATGAAGCCAAGCTCGGCTCGGCACCCGCAGACGGATGGGCAGACGGAGCGAGCGCACCAGACCGCTCAAATGATGTTGCGTACGCTCATCCGCCCCGACCAGAAAGATTGGGTTGACCGGCTTCCCGACATCGAGTTCGCCTACAACACTTCGGTGCACCCGGCGATCTGCGTCACACCATTCGAGTTACATCATGGTGGAGAGAAAGCACGGATCTTCGCTGATCTCCTTTTGCCACAGGCCGCCGACACAGACGTCCCTTGCTCTCCCGCTTCCGTTCGGAAGTATCGAAACTTGCTGATCAAAGCCCGCGCAAATATGCAAAAGGCTCATATCCGCATGCAGCAGCAGGCTAACCGACGTCGACTTCCATGTCCTTTCCACGAGGGAGACCTTGTTTGGGTCCTCTCCGAGGAATTTGCGCTCGAGCAGGACGTTTCGCGCAAACTCCTTCCGAAATGGTTCGGACCATGGGAAGTCACTTCTGTCGTTGGAAACGACCCCGCAGGTCCTTCCTTTGTGATCAACATTCCACCGCACCTTACAGTGCATCGGGTCTTCCACGCGTCAAAGCTGGCCATCTACACGCCACCTTCAGCTGACGAGTTTTCCGGACGTCGATCATAGGATCCGCCTTCTATGGACGGACATCAGGAAGTTGACCGAGTCATCACGCACCGCAAGTATGGCAACAAGCCAATGCAGTACAAAGTCACATTCAAGCAATGTGCGCCTGACGACACTCGGTGGATCTCTAGTGCAGACTTGCAGACTTCTGCACCCCTTATCTTCGCCAACTATGAGAAGACACGACTTGCCAAGGCAGCAGCTCGTCCCACCCGACCCATCCCGGTGTCGGACAGACAACTCCACCCTCGCAAGTAGCTCGGTCTTTTAAGAGGGGGAGTGTGTTACATCTTCAATGCCACACGGGTCCTACCGGACCCGTCTTAGGGTTAGAGGGACACAATAGGGCCTAAAGGCCTGACCTTGGGGGTACTACAGGCCGTAAAGGCCTTACCTTGGACCAGACCCGACGAGCAGGCCCAAACGACATTGCCGTTTGGGCCTGGCGACGCTCTTGAGACTGCCGCCCGCCGGTTGGGGCTGAACCGTCCACCTTGACGGTTCAGGGCACGGCCAGGCCTCGCAGCATTGAGGCCGGCCTCTGCCCCACCGGTACAAAAGTACCGGTCCAGCCTCATTGAGGCTATCGACCCACCGGCACTCTAACGGTGCGGTATGGTACGGCGCGAATCAGCGCTGGCGCTAWGTTTAGCGCAGGAGCAGCGAGGAGCAGCGCAGCGCAGCATTAGCGCAGCAGCAGCGATCGGAGCAGCAGCAGCAGCGACTGGGCGTATCGGCGGCCATAGCCGCCTGAGGTATCGGGAGTCGGAGGCTTCTCTCCTCCCTCCCATCGCCAGTCCCCTCTCTCTCTCTCTCCTCCTTGGCTCCCTTCTTCTTCTTCTTCTTCTTCACATTGGAGACTTATACTAGTTGGACAGAGATCAGAG